TTTACACACGGAAAGAGATATTGACGGTTCCACAAGTTCAACATTTGATTTCCACATTTTTCTCCATAAAATCTGATTGAAAATTGGTCACACAATGATTTGTATAATGTAAGATGCAAATGAAGAGTTTGCCTAGTAGGATAATTATAAAGTTGTGAGTCACTTTGAAAATAGCTTTTTAAAGAGGAAGGCCAATTTGTGTCATACAAAGCTCTGAACACAAATATACAAGTAGGAAATACTGTATGTTTATATCAAAAATATTCAACAGTTTTAATTTATAGAATAAAAGTGCACTTGGGGTATCAAATTTCGAGAAGCGTTGTTACCCCTGGGTACTCTCATTCTACGATGTCACATTTGCTTTGCCCCAAATTTCCAGTCAGCAGTCCTTATCATAGTGTTGTATTCAAGACTACCTAACTCGAGAACAAGTCAAGATCAAGACCAAAGTGTATCAAGACTAAAGCTTTGCTTATACTTCGAGGTGCACGTCTCGTTCCCCCTGCTGAGTGACAAAAAATTGTGCAAATTCCGTCTGCTCTCCCACTGTTAGACAGCCATCTTGTGCATTGCCCCCAGTCAGAACTGGGAGATGCGGACCTTGTAGCTGAGAATGTGTGATTGGTTTGAACTTTGTGGGTGTGTTTGTTCTTGAGGACCACTGCAGTGCTCCAGCAGCGCTGAGGAGCAGGACTCTGATCAGTGCTGCTTTTACATCCCCAGTGTGGATGTTTTTTTTTGTTTTGTTTTTTTTCAATGAAGTAATGCCTTGTGTTTTCTTTTAGGCTCCGCCTCCTCTTCTGTGTCTCTCCTTTAATTGGGTGCTGCTCCTTTGGTCTCAAGCCAGTCAATTAGCTGGGTCCTATTTAATGGCTGTGAAGCTGGACTTCTGCGCCTATGGGCCACTTGACTGCCATACACCAGTGATTGTTGTCAGCTGAGGGATCTTTATTTTACAAACTAATGTAAACTTGGTCAGACTGATTTTGTAGGGGAGAGCTGCCTTATGTTTAACCTTTGTTTTCTCCTGTTTATGTGTGTGTTAGGTAAGGTTATTTTAGGTTTGTATATTTTATTTTCATTGGGGTTAGGTGAGTTTAAATTTTATTTTTATTTCAGGGTTGTTTTGTTTGTTATTTTGGCCTGAGCTCTCCCTAAATTCTTTGAATCAGTCTTTATAGAAAATAAACTTAAAACTTGGCAGCAAATAAACATCTTAAATGCCATTTTGAATCCTCCTTCATTGTCTAGATTTATGTTAGTCCCTTTAAACTCCTAGACCAAGCCAGGGGACGTAACATATTTGGGGGCTCGTCCGGGATTTTAATCCTGTTAACCCCATTTCTACTTTGAATTTTGGAGAGGTGTTTTTTTTTCTTTTTTGGTGTATTTGGCAGAAGGTATCAGTATGGCATCACGTAGTTTCAACCTAATTGCATTTTTGCATAATCCTTCTTGGGAAGATTTTAATGTGTGTAGAAAACAGGACTTATTTTCTATACCATCACATTTTGAGCTGAGTGTAACCAAAGAAATGGTAAAACAAGAGTTGAAATCAATTGTTTCAAACAAACTTRTGGAAGAAGGACTGCTTCCTTTTTCTGACATGCCTTGTTTCAATTCCTTGTGACAAGACTCCTAATGAGGGATTGAGGCCTGCTGTGTCAGAAGGACAAAAGCCTGCTGCTGTGGATCAATTAAAGGTTGGAAACTTGAGCACTGATGCCTCACCTGCAACTGCTACCTCAACTCCTTATTTCCATTCAAAACAAGAAGCATCAATTAAGGTACGTTTGGCAAAACTACAACTAGAGTCTCAGGATAAAGCTCGTAGGGCAGACTTTGAACTTCGCAGAATGGAGGTGGAAGCAGAGACAGAAAGACTTTTAAAGCTGAAAAAATTGGAACTGGAGCTGCAGACCGAGAGAGAGGTCAAACTGTGCCAGCTGGAGTTGCAGGCACATATGACAAGAAGCTCTATACAGCCACAAACTACTCCATCCAGTTTTGTGAACTCAGCTGCTGTTGGTGAAGCAACCCCAGATTTTGATGTAAGTAAAAACATTGTGTTGGTACCCCCATTTCGTGAATCAGAAGTTGATACATATTTCAATGTGTTTGAATATGTTGCTGCTTCATTGCACTGGCCGAGGGAGGTCTGGCCTTTGTTACTTCAACTGGTAGGCAAAGCCCAAGAAGTCTGTTCGACTTTGTCTCTGGAGGAATGTTTAAAATATGATGCATGATGGCATGTATGATGTCTGTTATCCTTGCTGCTAATGAACTTGTTCCAGAAGCGGATAAACACTTTCGTAATCATAAAAGAACAGCAAACCAGACGTTTGTAGAGTTTGCTCGTGAAAAAGCAACACTYTTTGATAAATGGATTTCAGCAAGTAAAGTTCCTGATTTCCCCTTTCTACGTGAACTAATGTTGCTGGAAGAGTTAAAAAATGGTCTGCCAGAGCGCATTGTTGTCTATTTAAATGAACAGAAGGTTTCAACTTTGAAAGAAGCAGCTGTGGTTGCTGATGAATTTGTGTTGACCCATAAAACTGTTTTTGCGCAGAAACGTGAAATTACACCTAGAAAACCTCTCCCGGGAAAAGATCCTCCAAGCCCACGAAAAGCTTTTGTTTCAAGGACTGAAAGAGAATGCTTCTATTGTCATAGACTTGGTCATGTTGTTGTGGAGTGTCCCTCTTTAAAGCGCAAAAATCAGTCACCTGAAGCAAAGCAATCAAAAGGAGTTGGTTTAATTAAATCAATCCCAGCTGAGAAACTGACAGGAGATCAAAATGAGGAACTTGATTCCTGTTTTAAACCTTTTATCCTGGATGGTGCTGTATCATTAACTGGAAACTTGGAGGATGAAAAATCWATTAAAATCCTGAGAGATACTGGAGGGTCAAGATCTGTGATCTTTGCTAATGTATTACCAGTGGGTGATCATTCAGCATGTAATAGTAATATTTTGATTCAAGGAGTTGAAATGGGTTATGCTGTAGCCCCTTTGCACTACGTCCACATCAACTCAAAGTTGGTCAGTAGCATTTTCCCTGTGGCTGTACTTCCATCACTTCCAATTAAAGGGGTTCAGTTTATTATGGGCAATGATATTGCTGGGGGAAAAGTGCAACCTGTTCCTGAAGTAACTGATGATCCAAATTCAGTTTTGAAAAATGATGACCTGGCAACAAGTTTTCCATCAGTTTTTCCTGCTTGTGTYCTCACCAGGGCTCAAAAACAGCGTAGAGCTGCAGAGATGGATCTGGCTGATTCCTGGTTGGCTCAGACTTTGGCTGAAGATGGCTCACAAACTCTGACAGACCATTACAAGGACTCAATGGAAACGGCTGAGAGCAAATTAAAAATTCTTCATCTACCTCAATTGGACTTGCCAGTCACACGTGAGAGACTTATTGCTGCTCAGAAATCAGATGTCTCCCTGGATAGATGTTTCTCTTCTCTCTCTGAAGCAGGAAATAAGAAGGATTCTTATTTTCTTGAGGATGATGTTTTGATGCATAAGTGGACTGTATATCCAAGAGGACACTTGGATGCAGAAGAAGATTCTGATGACTGTGAATGGAGCACTACTTATCAGATTGTTGTTCCTGTTGAGTATCGACACAATGTATTATCCCTTGCACATGAACATCCTTTATCTGGTCATCTAGGAGTTACAAAAACGTATAATAAAATACTCAACCATTTCTTYTGGCCAGGTTTAAAGGCTGATGTGACAAAGTTTTGCCATATTTGTACACTTTGTCAAGTTGCAGGGAAGCCAAACCAGCCTGTTCCTGTTGCTCCTCTTCAT